CCCCCCCCCCCCCTAGGTTTGGATTTCCAACTAGCTTTTTCAACTCGGTCGCGACTTGAAAATTTCTGAAATTTTCAACTGCGCAGAGCGTTTCCAATTTCTTTTGGCCCGAGTTGAAAATTTATTGTAAAAAAAATCGATTTTCCAAACCGAAGAAGCTCTGTTCGGCTGGGAATTGAAAATTTCATTTTTTCAACTGGAATTTTTCAAACCGTAAGAAACGGCATTAGTGTATTACAATAAACTCCGTCACAAGAATTTACCGAGAGGTTTGTAGACTGGGGCAAGAATAGATGGGGCGAACTACACATACACTTGGTCCATAAAATAGAGGCGAGTTGGTTGCCATCGCTCTCAGGGAGTACCTATTTATCCCACTGGCCTTCCCTGTTCCGGGTTCAGTCGTTTTTCCGGCTTTGTCTTTTTTCTTGTCAAAGCTACCCCACCGAAAACGTGCAGTTTCTTACCTTTTCCACAAGAATTTTGTAAAACCACAACAAAAACGGACACTTCCTTACCTCGCTTGCTCTGTGTTCGTGCTCTCACCTCTACACACCGCCTCCGTTCTCACCTTTCTGCGGCGCCTCCCCGTACTACACCACCTCCTCGGTTTCGCGGGAAAAGGTTCTCGTGGGGCCCCGCGGCTGTGTCTAACGCCATGTGGACGGGCGTGTGGGTGAAGGACATCCTCGAGCACGTGGGCATCAAGTCCTTCGAAGAGGGGGGGAAGCACGTCTGCTTCATCGGGGCCGACAAGCTTCCGAACGGGTACTACGGGACATCCATCCGCCGCGAGGTGAGAGAAATATATTACTCCGTATGTGTCTTTTCCCTCTTGTAGAGAATCTTAGGTTTGCGCTTTTTTCTGGTGTGTTGCCTTCCTTTGGAGACGCGCTAGGGCTGCTTTCTCGTACCCTCCCTCCCTTTGTATTTTTATTACTTGCGCTATGTTTTCATGTCTTGGCCTCCTTTCGTTTTTTCTTGGAGTAGGGCCTTGTTGTTGTTGTTGTTTTTGTTACGTATTATCAGAGTACGTATGTACACAGCTGTAGCTTTTGTAGAGCCCTCAGTGCTACGTTGATGAACACGCCGTGTTTGCGCATCCGTTGGAGAACCACGGTATATCTGGTCACGAGACGCTGTGGTGTTTGTGGAGGTTGTGCACGAGGGAAACTGAACAGAATGGAGAGCCCCGCCCTTTCCCCCTGAAAAGAAGCGCGACTGCCCTACTCAGTCGGCAAGAACGGCCTTGACAAGCACTGCTGTTGCTGTATGGAATGTTCGAGGTTGTCTCCGAGAAGAATTTTTGTTTCGTTTGTCAAGAAATCGCGGACTGGACGAGGAAAACAACAACAAAAAGTCTTGGTTTCGACCTCTTGTTGAGATTCGTTTCGGGGGTCGGTTTGGACGCTGCTTTTTCTCTGTTTCGCGTGCTGCAATATTGGGGCGCGGGAAAATATGATCCACACCTTAACCAAGTCGCCGGTACTTGTTGCCGTGAATCCAGCAAGAAACGAACAACCGGGGTCACGACGCGTATGATCGAATCCTTATGTGCTCCCGGCGTGCTGCCTGCGTCGCATTGAGTTAACGATATTCGCAAGACCTTCCGTAAGGATAGGCAAGCGTGGACAGCAGTGGCCGTCGCAACCCGGTCTTGTGTTGAGGTTATAGCTACAACGAGTGCTGTTGCTTGCTGGTACACGAAAATGATGTGCTGCTGTGTGCCGCAGGTGTGCATGGACGAAACCGCGGACGTGCTTCTGGCGTACAAGATGAACGGCAAGGAGCTGTCCCCTGACCACGGCTACCCCATCCGGCTAATCGTGCCGGGGTACATCGGCGGACGCATGGTGAGCGACACGGAAACCCGGCGTGTTCCGTTGGCTTATAACGTGGTATCCCGTACCGTACCGCATGTGTGTGTGTGTGTGTGTGTGTGTGTGTGTTTCCGTCCAATCTCGGCTGGCCGTCAGCCTACACTTGTACACAATATTGACGGAAAAGTGGGTATTGACAGTATTTAGTCCTGCACGCCCGGCGTTAAGCGGCGTGGTGCATTCGAACGGTATCTCAAGAGACGTCCTAGCCGTGGATACCACCACATGTGGGCGTGTGTTTGTTGAATGAAGCAAGGGTGCCGCACCATGAGTCTTTGTTTTCGACGACGGCCGCCGAAATGGTTTTGGTTGACTGTGGCCGCAGATGTCACCCAAAAGGCATGGAGATGACTTGTCTGGAACAACCAAATAAACAACGAAACATTTCACCCCACATACACGGGCGCGTCAAGCCCACGTCCACCCCGTGCTCTCCGCTGCACCTAACAGTTGGTTCTGTGGGAACAACGCTCCGTTCTCTCGAGGACGCGTGGTCGGTGGTCTAACCGCCAAGGCATGCAAACATGAGAGTACGACCCCCCCCCACTCCCCTCGCGCAACCCTTACCATCACTCGCCCACGCATGCCGCTCTTCCCCTGCGCGGCGATCTCGGTTCGTGTTTGTGATTGGTCAGATCAAATGGCTCACTGACATCGAGGTGACTGACCTGGAGAGCGACAACCACTACCACTACTTCGACAACCGAGTGCTTCCTTCGCAGGTGAGAGATGGTGCTTGTGCTTGTGTTGATCGACGCCGTTGCACCCGCCGGTGAACTGTTTCCGGCGTCCATGTAGGGCCTCGGCTCTTATGATGTCCTCCTAGATTGCCAGCGTACGGTAAAGCACACCGTTGAGCTTAGGCAAGGCCAATAAAAGACCAACAGCACGACTGAACGGCAAAAACCCTACCTATAAACTCATGTCCAGAGAAAACACAGACCTCACGCTGCTCTTTGGGTGACAATCGCATCAGCTTGACTGCCGTGAAAGCAGCGAGTATCGAAACTATTCGCGTATGGTGACATGCTGCTGTAACGGCGTGACATCAACGTCAAACACCAACGTCCATGCCGTGCCACGGTACTTTGTTTCGTCACAGGTTGACGCGGAGAAGGCGGTGGCGGAGGGCTGGTGGTACAAGCCCCCCTACATCATCAACGAGCTCAACATCAACAGCGCCATCGTATACCCTCGCCACGACGAAGTGGTGGGTTGTAACCGCAGCAGTGCTGGGCCTGGTTTAGCGAACCCCTGTTTAGCGGCATGCCCTGCATATAGCGCCCGCCAAAATTGGTTGGCACGTTGCACCACCACAGCATCCCGACTACAGTAGAGCTCCCTGTTCAGTGCTGGCATGTGCCCAGCAAAATGTGCCAGCACCTTTACCATATCGGCACTATTCAAAGTGTTGAAAATGACTTGGAAAGTCAGTGTGTGCCCGCCGAAAACACCGGCACTATACCGGGCATTGGCACTAGTCGACCGGCGCTACACAGGGACCTCTGCTGCAATAGTATGATAGCCACAAATCGAGGGGCGTGGTCTCCTGACACGAAGGTAGCGAGAACGGGCCCTCCCTGGAGTACACGTCACGGCCGTTTGCTCTACAACTTTTTTTCATGGCTCTTAACGGAATCGGAGCTCCTATCCACGATGTAACTCTTCAGTTAATAATCGTGTCACATGTTGGCTACACAGCCTCCCACTTGGAAACCAAGCTGCTCCGCACACAACGCGCCCACATCCAATCGTATGCATACCTCATGAGATACCTGATCATCTCCTACCCCCGAAACAGGTCTCTCTCACCTCCGCCGAGACCACCTACACCGTCTCCGGCTACGCGTACGGCGGCGGCGGGATCGCCCTTACGCGGGTGGAGGTATCGCTCGACGACGGCAAGACGTGGGAGCTGGCGGAGCTGTCCATCCCGGAGAAGCCGCGCCACATGGGGCGGTACTGGTGCTGGGTCTTCTGGGAGTTCAAGGTCGACGTCCTCAGGTGCTTAAAGTGTGCTCGTCATCTGTGGAGACTAAAGATGGATTAGTGGTGTTCTGCGAAGAAAAGTTTTTACTGAAAAATTGAAGTTGCAAAGAAACGAAACACACATTGCTTGTCGTCGCACAGGGGGTGCGCTTTTGTTGTCCGTTTAGGTCTCACCTCTTTCGTCTGTGAAGCTATGGTTGCAGTGGTTTCGTTAAGCCGGTTGGGAGTTCAGGGGTACCTCGTGCATGGGCGTAATTCGTTCCCAGTCTCGGTTCCTGCTTCATTTCTTGCAGCCCTTGACTACATAGTTGTTTTTGCGTGTGGTAATATTTTTTTGTGCTTTTTTTACATATTGGCACGTATGTATGCTTGCCGGAGCCATCGTATAGTGTCGATCATACACGGCGGTGTTTTCTAGGCTATTCATAGGGGTTTGCGTTTGCTAAGATTAAGAACCGAACGATCGAGTTTTTATGTCATTTCCTGTCGTGTTGAACCGAAAACGTGCCGAAGGGTGGATCGTTCTCTCTTTGCGTCCAGATTTTTTCTTCAAGTTGTTTTTTTCCTGATATGACAGAACGAATCCATCCCTTACATTTTTCCGTATGTCGTTTCTGGAAACCGGGGTTGCTGAACAACATGCTACCGCACACACAAGCACGATTCGCTTTTTCTCCTGCTGTAAGACCGACGGCTATTCGCTGATAACGCGGCCGATGCTTACGAATAAAACACAACACACATACACACCCATGAGACGCCCCTTCACGGGGTCCCAGATCATGATGGCCTTTGGAAGCATTGTGTTTTTTCAACCGCACTTCGACTCGCGTCTCTTCATTGGTCAGTCGGTCAGCGCGGTCGATGCTAACACACACACACCGTCCATTCGCATCAATCGTTCGTTCTTTCTCAGGCTGATGAAGTGTGAGGAGATCGTGTGCCGCGCCTGGCAGGGGCAGAACACCCAGCCGCAGAACATCACCTGGAACCTTCTGGGCATGATGAACAACTGCTGGTTCCGCTGCAAGGTCCACCCTACCAGGGATGACAGGGGGGCCCTTGCCCTCACCTTCGAGCACCCCACCATGCCCGGCCCTCAGCCGGGTGGCTGGATGGTCAAAGGAGGCGGGGGGGTAGGGGGCGTGGTGGCCAAGGCGCCGCCGCCGAAGGTGTGTGTGTTTGCTCGTGCCTGTTGTTTTCTTGTTCTGAAGTGGTGGGTCATGCAACGATTGCTTGGTGTCCGTGAAAAGGCACACGTGTGTCTTCTGTGTTTTCGTAGTATTTTTGTTTTTATTTTTTTTGACCGAGGCGGGTTGATGTCGGTGAAACAAATGCCTCTCAATACAACTATTTTTGGAGCAAGGTGCTGTGTCTGATGAACATAGACAATCCTGGGTGGCGACTCGCATGCATTTGTATGTGTGACCAAGAAATAGAGTCTGCGCGGGAGAGGGACGTGACAGCGCCAACCAGGGATGCAGTCATTGGGTGATCCGAAACCGGGGCATTTATCTATTAAACCCGTGTGTTGCCGGGGATAGAGACTCATACGTCACTTGCAAATTAGGCACACACGCCAATGGCCAACCCGTCTTGTGGTCACACGTGCATTAATGTGCGTTTTCTCGAGTGACGGTGTGACACGTGTAATTGCTTGTATCATACTTTGCTCTACACATGGCACCCACGAAAGGATTTACTTACTGTGTGTGTCCTGACATTCTTTTTTTGTGTCTTTGTTGTACATACCATGTTTTTTTGCATGTGCTTTCAAAGGCGACCGAGCCTTCGACGTGTTTTGCCATGAATGCCGCGTGTCTTGACTTTTATTGCGTTCTCTTTTGTGTTGTCGTGTGTGGGTTTCCGCAGACCTCCTCGAATGGGAAGTCTTTCAACCTCAAGGACGTCCACAAGCACGACCACGAGGACGACTGCTGGATCGCCGTGGACGGGAAGGTATGTCGTCGTACCACATAGCTCTCGGGGACCTGTTGCTGCCTTAGAAGTTGCATCATCGTCCTTTGCCCTTTGCTTTCGCACTTTTTCTGGATTGTTGTTTCGTTTGCTTGGTGGCCTTGCGAGTGCCTCCCTTTTCTGGCTGCCTTGCGCCGATTGGAAAAGGTTGCCGTGTGAGACGCGATCAAGATCGAAAAAGAAGCTCGTCGGTTACAGCTGTGTTGTCTAAAACATCGCGCGTAATATAAAATCTCAACCTGAACTTTTTTTATATTTTTCTTATACATATATATATATATATATTTTTTTTTTGGGGGGGTGTACTCATGGGGGGTGTTGGGACAATATGTCCTGTTTGATTGATTTTCTGTTGATTTGGGATACAGCAGCAGGCTCACACGCACTCTCTCTCTCCGCTGTGCCTGGGCCAGGTGTACGATGTGACCGACTTCCTCGACGACCACCCCGGTGGGGGGGAGTCGATCACCATCAGCGCCGGGCAAGACAGCTCCGAGGAGTTCAACGCCCTCCACTCAGACAAGGCGCGGGCCATGCTCCAGGACTATTACATCGGCGACCTGGACAGCAGCGTCGCTAAGCCAGAGGTCCGTGCCACAAGTGTGCTGTCGATCGTGATGATGACGATGATAATGGTGTCCTCGCGTGCCTGTAGTCTCGCTGGCAATTGGCGTCCTCTTGTTCGCTCGCAGCCAAAAATAGACGAATTCTGTAGCGATAGACGTGGTCCGTATCCCGGAACTTGTGCGCTTCTGTCGCACGTCCCCGTTGCCCGGCCACCTGGCACTACACTACACTGGACTACACTACACTACACTACACTACACCCGCGGCTCTGTGTGTAGTTCTTCATGCCTCCGTTCTACGCCATCTTGCGCCCCTTTCTCAAATTTGCATCTCCTCTTCATGTTTTCCTATACAGTTACGCAATAGATGCATGTGCGTAGGCATTCCTGCAAGCTCAACAAGAAGATCTAAAAACCTGATTCCAAGCCCCTCCCCCCCCTCTCCTCCCCTACCCGAGCAGAAGATCGTCGATGAGGAGCAGCTAGTTGCCCTCAACACCCGACAGAAGCTGGCGGTGCCCCTCATCGAGAAGGAGGTTCTTTCGCACAACTCCCGCCGCTTCCGCTTCGAGCTCCCCACGAAGGACCACAAGCTCGGCCTGCCCATCGGCAAGCACTTCTTCGTGTCCGGGAGGTGGAATGGGGAGTTCGTCATGCGGCCGTACACCCCGGTAACCGGGGACGAAGTTTCCGGCTACGTGGACCTCGTCATCAAGGTGTGTCGTCGTGTTGTTAGGCTGTCGTGTTGATTGGCTATCGTGTTGATTGGCTGTCGTGTTGATTGGCTGTCGTGTTGATTGGCTGTCGTGTTGATTGGCTGTCGTGTTGATTGGCCGTCGTGTTGATTGGCTGTCGTGTTGATTGGCGGTCGTGTTGATTGGCTGTCGTGTTGATTGGCTGTCATGCTGATTGGCGGTCGTGCTGATTGGCTGTCGTGTTGATTGGCTGTCGTGTTGATTGGCTGTCGCGCTGATTGGCGGTCGTGTTGATTGGCTGTCGTGCTGATTGGCGGTCGTGCTGATTGGCTGTCGTGTTGATTGGCGGTCGTGTTGATTGGCTGTCGTGTTGATTGGCTGTCATGCTGATTGGCGGTCGTGCTGATTGGCTGTCGTGTTGATTGGCGGTCGTGTTGATTGGCTGTCGTGTTGATTAGCTGTCGTATTGATTAGCGGTCGTGTTGATTGGCGGTCGTGTTGATTGACCCCAAGCCTCTATCCTTACGAGCTCGTCATTTACGGGTTGGGGGGGGCATCCCCTTGTTGCTGTTGCCTATGGCAGACGTGCCAATGGCCTCCTTATCCTGTCTGGGTGATGAGCAGCCGTGCCCCCAGGAAGCAAGGGTTTGCTCTTGGGGGGGTGCCGCTCCCCAACCCGCATGCCCCTTGCCGCTCGATTTATTTACCGCTGTGATCCCCCTCTCGCCATATCCTTCCGGCGACCATCTTTAGGCCCACTCCCTCCTCCCCTTCTCAATGGTCGAACCGCTAAGGCATGCAACACGTAAGAGTACGCCCCCTCCCCCTCTTTAACGTACGAAAGTCAAAGTCAACCACTTCATGTGTTGGAATTATTCCTTTCCTCGCCCCCAAAATATGACACATGATGCTCCCCCCCCCCCCCCCCCCCCCCCCCCCCCCCCCCCCCCCCCCCCCCCCCCCCCCC